CCTTCCCTCCCTTCCCTTCCCTTCCCTTCCCTTCCCTTCCCTTCCCTTCCCTTCCCTTCCCTTCCCTTCCCTTCCCTTCCCTTCCCTTCCCTTCCCTTCCCTTCCCTTCCCTTCCCTTCCCTTCCCTTCCTTCCCTTCCCTTCCCTTCCCTTCCCTTCCCTTCCCTTCCCTTCCTTCCCTTCCCTTCCCTTCCCTTCCCTTCCCTTCCCTTCCTTCCCTTCCCTTCCTTCCCTTCCCTTCCTTCCCTTCCTTCCCTTCCCTTCCCTTCCCTTCCCTTCCCTTCCCTTCCCTTCCCTTCCCTTCCCTTCCTTCCCTTCCCTTCCCTTCCCTTCCCTTCCCTTCCCTTCCCTTCCCTTCCCTTCCCTTCCCTTCCCTTCCCTTCCCTTCCCTTCCCTTCCCTTCCCTTCCCTTCCCTTCCCTTCCCTTCCCTTCCCTTCCCTTCCTTCCCTTCCCTTCCCTTCCCTTCCCTTCCCTTCCCTTCCCTTCCTTCCCTTCCCTTCCCTTCCCTTCCTTCCCTTCCCTTCCCTTCCCTTCCCTTCCCTTCCCTTCCCTTCCCTTCCCTTCCCTTCCCTTCCTTCCCTTCCCTTCCCTTCCCTTCCCTTCCTTCCCTTCCCTTCCCTTCCCTTCCCTTCCCTTCCCTTCCCTTCCTTCCCTTCCCTTCCTTCCCTTCCCTTCCTTCCCTTCCCTTCCCTTCCCTTCCCTTCCCTTCCCTTCCCTTCCCTTCCCTTCCCTTCCCTTCCCTTCCCTTCCCTTCCCTTCCCTTCCCTTCCCTTCCCTTCCCTTCCCTTCCCTTCCCTTCCCTTCCCTTCCCTTCCCTTCCCTTCCTTCCCTTCCCTTCCCTTCCCTTCCCTTCCCTTCCCTTCCCTTCCCTTCCCTTCCCTTCCCTTCCCTTCCCTTCCCTTCCCTTCCCTTCCCTTCCCTTCCCTTCCCTTCCCTTCCTTCCCTTCCCTTCCCTTCCCTTCCCTTCCCTTCCTTCCCTTCCCTTCCTTCCCTTCCCTTCCCTTCCTTCCCTTCCCTTCCTTCCCTTCCCTTCCTTCCCTTCCCTTCCCTTCCCTTCCCTTCCCTTCCCTTCCCTTCCCTTCCCTTCCCTTCCCTTCCCTTCCCTTCCCTTCCCTTCCCTTCCCTTCCCTTCCCTTCCCTTCCCTTCCCTTCCTTCCCTTCCCTTCCTTCCCTTCCCTTCCCTTCCCTTCCCTTCCCTTCCTTCCCTTCCCTTCCCTTCCCTTCCCTTCCCTTCCCTTCCCTTCCCTTCCTTCCCTTCCCTTCCCTTCCCTTCCTTTCCTGACTCAACCCCTCCCCTGCCCACCCCTACCCCCTTCTCTCTCTTCCCCCTCCCCTCATCCCTCTCCTCTCCTCTCCTCTTCTTTTCTTTCCTTTTCCTTCTTTCCTCTCCACTCCTCTTTTCCTTCTTTCCTTCCTCCCATCTTCCCTCAGATCAGGCTACTTGTGCTAAATCCATCTTTTGTTTCTAGAAAAAAAATAAGTCTATAACAGATTTTTTAATGTAAGTTTTGCTTCATAAAATATTGAATATTGAAGGAAATAAAGTAAACAAAATGATAGGTTCCACCTGATATTGAATTAGATCTTAAATTTATAATTGTGCATGACATTTTGCTCACATCAATAGCGTAAACTTTTCGTAGCTCATAATTATCAGCTGATGTTAGACTCCATTAGATTTCTGATTATTGCATGATATATTCTCTCTGTCATGAATTTAGTCAGTAAATAAGGTGTTTTTTCCACTGTCTTTGAACACCTTTTGTGGTACAAACTTGCACCGTGAAAGCTCTCGTTTTGATTAGTTACCTCTCCGGAGATACTTTCAATTTTTTTTTCTTTTATTTTATTGGTGTACATGTTCATTTTGTGGGGATATTTTATGTTACTGTACTTTTACTACAGTTATGGATATACGTAGTGAATTTTACGTTATTTTTTTGTTTTTGTTTTTTGTTTTTTGTTGTTGTTTTTTTCACATTGTACGGTTGATTTGCCACTCTTTAAGAAACAAGTGGTTTTATTTGTACATTCGGTGAATTCAAAATACCAAAGTACCCATTTTTGTAGGTGCTGCCATAGATTTTTTTTTTTTCTTACGAAGACTGTAATTTAAGTATTTAAAAGAATATAATAGCACTATTGGATTGATTTCTTCCTTTCTTTTCACTCGCAGGGTCTTGGATATTTACAGGTCAGTGGGGGATGTACATAGAGATGAATAAATATGATCCATACATAGACAGATGTATACATAAAGACAGGCACAGAGAGAGAGAGAGAGAGAGAGAGAGAGAGAGAGAGAGAGAGAGAGAGAGAGAGAGAGAGAGAGAGAGAGAGAGAGAGAGAGAGAGAGACACACACACACACACACACACACACACACACACACACACACACACACACACACACACACACACACACACACACACACACACACACGTGCAGTATACACGAAAGCATACATCTAGGAACAAACGCTAATTCGCTAATTCAATCACTCTCTTCTCATTCACTGTCATGCTAACATTGACAATCACACACTCATATTCACATTCACTCTCATACTCACACAGTCACTCTCACTCTCACTCTCACTCTCACCTTCACCTTCACCTTCACATACACAAACTCATACTCACCCATACAGACATTCACATTCTTATTTATATTCACACATGCATGCACATAGACAACAGACACACACTATACAACTGATTATTATGTGGAAAACTAAACCACGACTATTTGTTATAACTCATGTTTTATCTCAGCTCAAATGTACATATTCAGGAGATAAAATAACAAAAACTTAAGCATTGTTCTAGCAGGTGACTTATGTGTGTCAATTGCTGAACACATGTGGTCAAGTGCATGGCATGCAAACATGTATACCATAGTTTAGTATACTTACAATATATAAAATTCAAAAATAATAGGCTTTTTACAGTCTTTGAGAATCCTTTGGTTGATAGGCGTTAAATTGAAAGTTTAAAGTATGAATCCTTGTTAGAAATAAAAAAGAAAAAAGAGAAACATAGCATTTACTTAACTCAGTGAAGTTGACCAAGTTATTCTTCTTTAATTTAGAATAAGGTTAGGAAATGGAAGATAATTAATTTCAACAGGGGCTATTTGGCAGACCTGTTACATCTGTGATGTGTAAACTTTATTATCCATTTACAGTATTTATAAAGACGTTTTATGTGCAGGATATTTCTTACCGTTCATCTTCCTCATGTAAGCAATTAGTTCTTAATAAATGCCTGGGGATTGCTGAATTTTTTTTTTTTCTTTTATTTTATTGGTGTACATGTTCATTTTGTGGGGATATTTTATGTTACTGTACTTTTACTACAGTTATGGATATACGTAGTGAATTTTACGTTATTTTTTGTTTTTGTTTTTTGTTTTTTGTTGTTGTTTTTTTCACATTGTACGGTTGATTTGCCACTCTTTAAGAAACAAGTGGTTTTATTTGTACATTCGGTGAATTCAAAATACCAAAGTACCCAATTTTGTAGGTGCTGCCATAGATTTTTTTTTTTTCTTACGAAGACTGTAATTTAAGTATTTAAAAGTATATAATAGCACTATTGGATTGATTTCTTCCTTTCTTTTCACTCGCAGGGTCTTGGATATTTACAGGTCAGTGGGGGATGTACATAGAGATGAATAAATATGATCCATACATAGACAGATGTATACATAAAGACAGGCACAGAGAGAGAGAGAGAGAGAGAGAGAGAGAGAGAGAGAGAGAGAGAGAGAGAGAGAGAGAGAGAGAGGAGAGAGAGAGAGAGAGAGAGAGGAGAGAGAGAGAGAGAGAGAGAGAGAGAGAGAGAGACACACACACACACACACACACACACACACACACACACACACACACACACACACACACACACACACACACACACACACACACACACACATATCCAGGAACACACGCTTTCATTTGCTAATTCAATCACTCTCTTCTCATTCACTGTCATGCTAACATTGACAATCACACACTCATATTCACATTCACTCTCATACTCACACAGTCACTCTCACTCTCACCTTCACCTTCACCTTCACCTTCACATACACAAACTCATACTCACCCATACAGACATTCACATTCTTATTTATATTCACACATGCATGCACATAGACAACAGACACACATTATACAACTGATTATTATGTGGAAAACTAAACCACGACTATTTGTTAAAACTCATGTTTTATCTCAGCTCAAATGTACATATTCAGGAGATAAAATAACAAAAACTTAAGCATTGTTCTAGCAGGTGACTTATGTGTGTCAATTGCTGAACACATGTGGTCAAGTGCATGGCATGCAAACATGTATACCATAGTTTAGTATACTTACAATATATAAAATTCAAAAATAATAGGCTTTTTACAGTCTTTGAGAATCCTTTGGTTGATAGGCGTTAAATTGAAAGTTTAAAGTATGAATCCTTGTTAGAAATAAAAAAGAAAAAAGAGAAACATAGCATTTACTTAACTCAGTGAAGTTGACCAAGTTATTCTTCTTTAATTTAGAATAAGGTTAGGAAATGGAAGATAATTAATTTCAACAGGGGCTATTTGGCAGACCTGTTACATCTGTGATGTGTAAACTTTATTATCCATTTACAGTATTTATAAAGACGTTTTATGTGCAGGATATTTCTTACCGTTCATCTTCCTCATGTAAGCAATTAGTTCTTAATAAATGCCTGGGGATTGCTGAATTTTTTTTTTCTTTCCTTTTCACAAATTTTGGATGTAACTAGCACATGCTGGCTTATAATGTACCCATAGTTGTACCTAAGGTTTGGACAAAATTCATGTCTGTTCCAGCTGTAGTCACTAGAAAAAAATGAATGTCCTAGTTTACCAACGGACCTGAAATTATATCTGAAAATCAAATGCTTAAGAAGCAAGACTGATGTATTTTTTAGAAGAACTTTATAGGTACTGTATGAATGTAGAGGTGATTGTTC